GTTCTAGATATTATTTTTGTGTTTTGATCGTGAGAAAGTTCATATAATGTTTTGATCGTGAGCACCAGCCTTGCAATTTCGAAGGTGACATGGGGTGCTATGAAGTCGCAATTGTGACTTACCCCTTCGCAATTGCGAAGTCAGTAGGCATGGTGCTTGGGTCACATCTGCGACTATTTGTTTGCTTTTGCGAAGATGTCCAACTTCGCAATTGCTAGGACCTTGTCGCAATTGCAATGTTTGTTGAGGCTGTCAGTGATCGCAATACGAACCCTGGTCCGTAATTGTGAGGGTATTTGCGAACCATGTGTCATAAATGCGACATCTGCAGCTGGACAAAAGGGCTGGAAGTCGGGAATTTTCAACACATTCTCTCATTTTAGAACCCTAGACTCAATAAGAGGCGATTTAGAGGGGGGATTTTCATCTACAAACATTAGGAACTGATTTTAATTGATTTCCAACTATATTTCATTAATATATCTTAGATTTAACATCAAAATTATGTGAATCAAAGTGCAAATTTGTGAAAAATTTTCAAGTTTTTGAAAAATAAGAATTTGTGTTTTAAGAGTGGATTTGGACTCGGATTTTGAAACTAATTACATATATGAACTAGTGGGGTTATGGATAGTCGAAATCTACCATTGGACCCGGGTTTTGACTGGGCGGTCCCAGGTTGACTTATGTTGACTTTTTGGTAAAAGTGTAAAGATCGTAACTTTATATGTCGTAATTTTTTTCCCTTGAATTGTTTGATGATATTAGGTCAATTTTGGTTAGATTTGAGCCGTGGGAGGCGTATTTTAGGGGAAAAGGTAGTTCCGAGGGTTGAGTTGGCCAGTTGAGGTATGTATCTTGCCTAACTTTGTGTGGGGGAACTACCCTTTAGGATTTGGGATTGATGGTGTTATTGTATTATGTGGAAGCCGTGTATGCAAGATGATGAGTGGGTACATAGTTTATATGTGGTATTTGATCGGTTTAGGCTATTTAGACTCTTTCCATGCCCTTAATTGAATTGTCATATTGTATTTTAATTCTCGTCAATCTACTTGTGTTAGTCTATCCTTACACGCCTTATTTCACTTTGTTAACACTTGTTCTACATCTTACTTGATACTTTACATTATGTATCAGTTGAAGTTACTGCTTTCCTTATTGCCTTCTTACATACTTAATTATTGATTTTCTTTTACACGAAGTTGTTATTTCATGAATTATTTTCTTGTTGAGTTATTGGTATTGAAGTTGTGAAAGTCGTTATCACATTGATGCGAATTTGTAAATGAGATACCTTCCTTGTTGAGCAATTCACATTCATTGTTATTGTTGATATTCTTGTACACATTGTGGTTGAGCCATGGGCTAATTGTTGTGGAAACATTGATATTGTTGATTTTGGCAATTTGTGACATATGGGCACTTGTTGTGTGAGTTGTTATTGTGTTGTGATATTGATGTGCATGCGGCGATATAAGGATAGGGGTTAATGTGCATGCGACAGCATAAGGTGGAATTTATGTGCGTGTTGCTAGTAAGGGAATTACTTGAAGCCACACGACATCATAATGTGGGCTAAAGTGCGTGTAGCTATTTCGGGAAAAATGTTTCCAAAACTATCTAAATGTAAGGCTCACGCGGTAGTATAAGAAAAGATTGTGATTGAAATTGAGAAATGTGAATGTGAGGCGCTACCTCGGTTGTGATTCTTGTTGTATACGAGGCGGTACCTCGATTGTGATTCTTGTTGTGAATCTCATGTTGAAAAGAGTTATTGATGGAATACTTCTGGTTGCTTTTATTCTTCCTTGTCTTATCAGTTTTGTCCGTATACTATTGTGGTTCTCTTTATTTGCTACCTTTATGTTATCTCTATGCTTGCAAATTTTTTATTATTCTATGTTATTAACTTGTTTTGTATCATTTATTTCTCCGCTTTCCCTTCTCATTATTATGTTTTCATTTTGTTTATTATGTCCTAGTAGGTGTTTTGACCTGGCCTCGTTACTACTCTACCGAGGTTAGGCTTGATACTTACTGGGTACCATTATGGTATACTCATACTACAGTTCTGCATATCTTTTTGTGCAGATCCAGGTACGTCTGCTCGTATTGGACATTAGTGTTTGATTGTAGCTACTTGTAATGACCCAACCGATCGTTTTGAGTATTTTTATTCTGTTCAGCTGTTTGAAGTCTTGAGTAACTTCATATGATGTATTATGACTTGTGTGTATCATCTGTTTCAGTTTTTGGATGATTCAGAATTAGTTTGGATGAATGATTTTCATGTTTGAAGCCTTTAGTTGGAAGAGTTGACCAACTTTTACTTTTGTGTATATGATCTTAGATCAGAATTTTGATGATTTCATTAGGTCCGTATTGTGATTTTGGAATTGGGGGTATGCTTGGATTTGCATTTGGATGTTTCTAGAAGGATTCGGCACTAATTGGCGAAAGTTAGAAATTTGAAGGTTTGGAATATTCATAAGTTTGATCGAGAATTCATTTTGATGATATCGGGTTAGAATTATTGTTCTGGGAGTTGGATTAGGTTTGTTATTTCATTTGGAACTTGTATGCAAAATTTGGGCTCATTCCGGATTCGTTAGGCTTGAATCGAACACTTGGTTCGAAGTTTGAAGTTTATGCACTTAAGAGATTGAACTTGATCGATGATTCATTGTTTTGATGTTGTTATGTATATTTGAGGCCTTGAATAGGTCTGTGTTATGTTTTGAGACTTGTTAGTATATTCAGACGGGGTTCCGAGGGGCTCGGGTGAGTTTCGGCTAGTTTCATATCAATTTAAGGCCATTTTCAACTGCTGGTTTTTGGCTACATGGGTGTACATCGCTATCGCGAAGAATAAAATGGAAAACTTAGACTTGTGAATCGCATTCGCGGAGGAATCTTCGTGTTCGCGAAGAAGAAATTCTGCTGCCACTGAGCTGATTTTGGAAGCTTATATCTTGCAATGTATATGAAATTTGGAGATGATCCAAAGATGGAAGTTGTAGCTCTTTTTTTCTAGTTTTAAAAAGATTTAAATTTTGTCATTTGTATTTTTGTAAAAAAGGTTATGGCCGTTCTACTAAAGGCTGTCAGGAAAGAGTTTAGGAAGGTAGTGAAATTTGTTCATCGCAATTGCTGGGAAATAGACGCAATCGCGAAGGGTAAAAAATGTGTTGGACAATTTTGGCATCACGATCGCAAGGTTTGTGACCACGATCGCGAATAAGGACCACTGGCAGTGCATTAAAACATTAAATTTCAGGATTTTGAGTTAATTTTATCATATTGTGAGATATGGAGCTCAAATTTGGGTGATATTCGTCACATGGATTGGGGTACGTGTTTGTGTACGTGGTTTTGCTTAACCTTTATGAATCTATCTTCAATTTTGACATTTGAATTATGAATTTTAAAGAAAAATTGGGGGGGGGGGTTTGTCCAAACTTTTCTAAAGTGAATTTTTGAGTGTTGAACATCGATTCAGAGTATGATTTGAGTTGAATTAGTATGTTGGACTCGTAATTGAATCGGTTGTCGGATTTTGTAAGTTTTTTGGGTTATGGCGTGCGGGCCCGGGTTTGACTTTTAGTAAATATGTAAAGACTCAACCATTATCATTTGAAATTATTTTCTTAGGAATTATTTGATATTTTTGAGTTGATTTTGGCTAGTTTCGAGCTGTTCAGAGGTAGATACACGCGGGATGGTGTTTCTAGAGTATTGTTTGGCTTGCTCGGTATTGGATTTGACTTGTTCGAGGTAAGTATCATATCTAAACTTGGATTTGAGAGTACTTAATACTAGGACCTATGTTATAAGAGATGCATTGGGGTGACACACATGTTAGATGACTAGCGTGTGGGCGTGCATCGGGGTAATCATGATTCAGGTTGACTATTAGACTATGACTGTACTTGTTTTGGTTTTATATGTTGTTCTATCTGTATAATTCCTACTTGTTAGAGTTACTAAGATGTGATTCATGTTAGAAATCATGTTTATGTTATGTGCTTATTTCGTTGAGAGCTAATGAGTCTATTTCTGCTATTTTAAGTTTTCTGCTCTAACTGTAATTATATACTTAGTCATGATTCTTCATTTGCATATCATATCTCAGTCTCTGTTTGTTGCACCTATTTTGCATGAATCAAAACAAGATTCAACTAGTGGTTTCCCTGTTGATGATAAAAAACATCCGCCACCTAATATTTAAAGGTATACTAGGGTACCCATTTAATTACTAAGATTATTTCTCTATTAGTCTGCTAACCGGTAAGGGGAAGGTGTTAGGCCGCCCTTAAAATCTACCTGAAGTAGCTCCGTAGGACTTAGACTAGATTTAAAGGATTAGTTGTCTATACTCTGCTTAATTAGTACTTAAAGATATAGCTTACGGTATATCTAGTTATAGCCTATTATTTGGAAGTAATTTTGAAAAGAGGGCATAGATTTATAAAAGCCTTTAAGAAATTTTTTATATCTATATAATTGAAAGAGTTTAGACATATGTATATAACGTTTTTATTTGCAGGAAAACAAATTGTGAGATATGGCTAAGTTTTAAAACACTTGTCTTTTAAAATGATGTGGCCATTTATATAATTCTAGTAAAGTAAGGCTTATTTAAAGAGATAGTCTTTAGGTATATCTTAAATATTAGTTCTCAAACCTTATATTTATTTTGAAGAAACCGTATGAAAAACCTTGGCTTTGCAACAACGCTTGTTCGATTTTCATTTGTAGAAAAGCTCAATTAAAAGACCAATTTCAGGTTCCAGTTTTTCTGACTTTGAAAAAAGGAGGATTGTCGACCTTCGCAAAGGATATTTTAATTTCAAAAGACTTCATGAAAAATCGTTAGTAAAGGTTAAGAGGTGAATAAAATAAATGGTTAATGAATTAGAATTATTATTACTAAGTTACGATGCTTCTTTTATCCTATGTATTTTAAGGCTTGCCTAGATTTTTAAAATAATCAAAGATATAAAGTAAAGCATTCAATCAAATATTATAAGTGTTATATACATGTAAAAATAACAATAAACTTAATAAAGCAGTAGAGAAGAGGAATGGACTTTGGTTTGGGCCTGAAGGAAAGTAGGCCTAGCAGGTGGCGAGGACGGACATCAACAACTTTGGACTCCATTATGTGCAGGTACAGAACTTGGGCCTGAGTTCTTTCGGAACTTGGGAGACCAATTTTAAATACATATGCAAAAGAATGAGAAAGTCATTAGATATATGGCCTAATGCACATAATTACATGTAAGTAACATTTAATATAGGTCCAAGATAAATTATAAAATCAACAGTAACTAAGGATGCAAAATTAGTATAAGGTCACATATAGTAAAACAATTTACAATTAAAACCTTTGTTCTCCATTGAACACTAAACCTAAAGAGATAATAAATATCAATAGACTAGAGGCTAAGTGTAGAATTTTATTCATGGCCAAGGTACTCTTCGGATCCCTGGCACTTCAATGTTCCCAAGGGTCCTAAGGGCCCCAAGCAGTGCTTGTGTCAGAGGGAGTATCTCAACCAAGAACTAAATTGTACTCCCAAATACACTTAACTACTCACACTTACTCTTACCTATAGGTTTAAATACTAATGAGATGTTCACTGTAAACCAATACTACAGTGGTGATTGTATGCAATGAGAGATAGGTTCTAATAACATCCGGCTCATCAAAGCATCAGTAGACATCCCATGGTTTGCACACAACCATTTAGTATTATCATATACTCTTACCAGCTTAATAACACTCAAACATGATTACTTATATGTGAAAATAAACAGTGAGAGAACAACATCACATGAATCTGAGGTCTCAAAATTGATAAGTCAAGTCGTTCAAAAGAGTGTGGGAGGTGTCAGATGCATTGCCTTTTAATAATCCAATTAGAAAGCCCATGCTTATGGAAGATCATTACTTATAATCTTGTGCTTAATCATACATACTTAATGGGGTATACAGACCAACATTCCATTCCTTACTAAGTAGGAATCTAACAAACCACTTCAATATTCTTAAGAAAGCAGGGGTAGGCAAATAAATTGGCAGAAAATCTAAAAAGAGATCACCATTCAGATCTAGGTTGATTAAGAGTTGAACATGAGATTCAACATTCAAATAGGATAGATGAACATCTAAAGAGGGTTCTTTCCAAGTCTGTAGGTAGACTTCAGTGAATTTAGTAAGTTTTAATGGCCTGGGAATTCAGTCACATATATGATATGCAAGTAGCAGTTTCCTTTAAGGAAAGGATGAGTCCAGAACTCCTAATGGATAGCATTCATATGTGTGCAAGTTATATTTTAACTAATACTATGACATTACAACAAGACTAAGTACTAAGGATGGAGTTAGACAGACAGGGGCATCATAATTTATTCTGGATAGTGAAAGTTTATGCTAGACTTATTGGAAACTAAGATACTTACCAAAACACAGTGTAGCATTTCAAACAAGGGATATGAACATCAGAAGTTTCCTTAAACTCTTTAGTGCTTGTAGTTTGATTAATATCCCTATTGCTATGTGGTTAATCCTTTTTGAATAACAAGATGTAGCTTTCGCCGTTATGAAGAGACACAGTTCTAATAGACGCGAGAGTACAAGTAAGTAGGAGATCCGTTTGAGCAAAAATGAGTGCAGAAATTCTAAAAAGGACATCCAAACAAATTACATGAGGTATTCTTGCAATATTGCAAGACTCTAAGACATGGCAGAGTTTCAAGTACCAGAAGACCAACTCAACAGTTTAATTGCGGTGGTTCAAAGCAATGAACATTCATGTTAGGCAGGCATGGTTATAATAACAGGACAACTAATCTAGTTAAATAGGTTAAGTATATTAGCCCTAACATAGTGAAGTTCTAGTTTCAACAACATGACATAAAAAAATATAATTCTCAAATCAGTAGATACTAAACTCCTAAGAACAATTAAGGGCATGGCTTAAGCTGGGCTGACAGAACACATAAGACCAATTGTAGAAAGTCATTAGCACTTAGTTCAATAATCTTTAAAAGCACTTTCATATAGTGATACTTATAGATAATCACATAGTCATGGAGGTCAACAGAATACCTTCTCAACAGTATTTCAGGAAGTCTCAGGATCATAAAGAAATATTTGAAGAACGAAGAAAATTGAACTGATACACTAATCTCAATGATGGCCTTGTAATTGTCCTTAAGTGTCTATAATTACCATAGTCTTATTTTACCAAAACAAGTGATTCAACTACATGATATAGATCAACAGGGAGTATCAAGGCAAGATTAGTAGAGCAGACATGAATCTTTATCAAAGGTATCTTGAAATCTAATATCAGGAATGGTGCAGAAGATCATATGAGGTTCTTAGACAATTACAAAAGTCTAACATCACATATATCTTCTTAACGTAAAAGAGCATTCATTAAGTTTACAAAATGATCGATTGAATTAATTTCGAATTCTTTAGAGGTCAGTGAATAGCATATATAATGTCAAAACATAATGATCAAACGTAATACATTATAAACAGAATAATCAACAAGAAGAACAGGACTTTAATCTTGAAACAGTTAAGAAGAGGAAAGTTCGATGTGCACTGACCTTTCTTCGAGTATCAAACCAAACAAAAGCTTCGTTTTAGCCGTTTAGGAGCCCAAGACTCAGACATCAATTAGTGAGTAACTCAGAACTAGAATTGAGAGAGAGAGAGAGATCAGAAATTGAGTGAGAACTTAGCCTTAATTGAAAGAATTCTAAACACTACTGTATTGTGTATTAAATTTCTTCAGATTGTTAGGAGTTTTTAGGTGAGAGCCATTAAGGTTCATATTTATAGTGCCTCAAGGTCTAGGGTTCTGGCGGATTCAAAATTAGGTAGTGGAAGATGATGATAGGTTGATGATGCGAGCAAATTAATTGAAAATAAAAAAAAAACAAAGGTGAAAACAAAGATGGATTTTACCTGAGTGAAGAGAGGTTGGCTGGTGAAAATGAAGACTCATCGGGCAAACTCTATAACCTAGAGGTCAGTGCGTTTGACCTTTGGGTAATGAATTCTCATGATGAAGCTTCTACAAAGCTCCATGCATGCTCTAATATGAAACGTCATAAGAGAAAATCAGATGAATTCGAGTTTGATGTTTTGGTGTATGATTTCATAATTGGGCCTTTCGAAAATTTCATTGGTGAAATGGTAAGAAAATAGCAGGCTTCATAGCCTAGGTACAAGATGAGTGGCTGTGCGTGCTTGATTTGAAAGAACAAAGAAAAATCGGATCAATTGCATTTTGAGCTTAGTGTTTCAAAACTGGTCTTTCTATTCCAGTAATAAAAGGGCAGCGGGATTTGCGGATAAGGCGACAGATTGAGTGTTTGGGGTTTGAGTTTGGGGCAGATTATTTGTAAAATACCTTATCTTCTAAATTGTGACACTAATTTTGAATTATTAACATAGTTATCTAATTAACTAGAAATTAAGGAATAATTCATTAATTTAATTATGAAGCCTATGTAATGTATATAACGATTATTTTAATAATCCTCAAAATTGTAAATATGATATATTTGTAATTACATAATACTAAATCATTAATTTCATTACTATTAATACTTAATTATTTTGTAAAATAGGTATTATTGATTAAAATTGGCCATCAACAACTACCCCTCTTTGACTGGAGATGATAAAAGAATTTTTGGGCAAAGAAATTAAACCAAAGCCATTTTTGTTCCGATCTTAGGCACACATTATAGGAATGACATATGGATTAAGGAAGATTATGAGTTGTAGAATTAGGAGTTCAGGAAGATTTTGGGAGAATTTGTGGGGAGTTGGGGCCGAATTCTCGCTTTGAATTACTTACATACCTCGCGCTTAACGAGGATCAAGCCTCATGTAGTTCTGTAGTGAAGATTCTTTTTGAGGCTTGATTTGAATGGTTTGAAGAATTAGAGTTCCACTGATCGTATTTAAGAAGTTGCATCTCTGATTGATGGGAGAAGTTGCATTGAAATTTAAAGTATCTCCGCGTGATGGGAGTGGTTGCATTGAAATTTAAAGTGTCTTTGCATGATGGGAGTTTCCGACTTGCAAAATGTAATCATGCATGTAAGTTGCATGAGCAAAACGTCAAAACATTTGAGATAATGATAAAGAAATAAGGAACATGCCTAAGAGGTATTGTTGAATGCGAAACTAAATTACGATCGTCGATTGGCAGAATGTTGGTGACGAGGTTTGCAGTTATATACTCTAATCTTCGATGTGGAGGGGTGGCGGTGCGGAACACTCCCATTGGCGAAGCGAACAATTTTGTTATATTTAGGGATTCGATTGGCGAAGCCGGCAACTCGATTAGTACAGGTCTCACCGATTGATTGAGCTGATTTGTTGCTATATACATGGCTCGTTATATACAACATGCTCCGTTCAGTTGAACAGATAGTTTATATATATAATATGCTCTGCTTGCATCAGCGGTCTAGTTCCTAAATACCTGCAAAGGATCTAAGAGTAAATTTTAGTTATGTGTAAGGGAAAATTTGAATAAGGAAAGAGGGATGATAGTTGTGAGAGTGTGGAGGATCCGTCATTTCATCCAGTGTGCTCCAGCATTTTCTCAGTGGGGAAGGGGTATTGGTTTGTGTTGACTATAGTCCTGGCTTTTCCCTGGTCCTGATGAGGTCACACCATGAAGTTCAATAGGTGGAACGAATTATGACATTTTTAGAAAATATTGTGAAAATCATTTATCTTATGGAAAATGCTGTCATTCCGAGTTACGGCATGTATATGAAGTTCCTCAAATATGAAAGTTGTTTCTATAAGACTTTGTCTCGTTGATGTCGATCCTCCAAGATGCTTCTGACGATTTGGCTTCTCGCCGTTGTGATTACATCCTAACCTAAACTAATGTGTTACAAAGGTTTTTCTAGGGTTATGACCGAACCTTTTCAGGTTGCCTACGTATCTGAAACGGAATCAGGTTTGAATCTAGTTCGTGGGTAATATTACAACAGATGTAGTTCGATTACAACATATGCAAAATGATGAGATTGAAAATGAAGTAGCCGAGTCTGACTCAGACTGCCTTTGTATCCAAATGGAATCAGGCAAAAACATAGTTCAATTAAAAAAGATGATAGAATCCAATGAGGATTACCTACGTATTCCTTCCAAAGGAAATCAAGTCGTGGCATAGTTCCAAGTACATACAAAATGGTATTTGGATTTTCTATTATAATAGAAAGGGAGAGAGAGAATCCGGACCCTACGTGGGTTGCCTACGTATCCCTCCATGGGAAGTCAGGTCGAGAGTAATTCTGCTACAACCAAAACCTAAGTATATTGTTTTCAAATGTAGTATCTCTTGATTGCGTCTGAGTTGATAGGATTCATGATAACTCTTCCGTCCATCTATGCCAAGATTAGAGCTCTCCGACAACACTCGGTGGACCACGTAAGGACCTTGCTAATTCGGTGCAAACTTTCCGTTCGCTTCTTCTTGTTGGGGAATATTCTTTTTAAAACCAACTGCCTCGGTATAAACTGGCAAGGTTTCACCCTTTCGTTGAATTCATTGGCCATCCTATTTTGATACAGCGGACCATGGCATACTACTTCCATTCTATTTTCGTCAATGAGCATGAGTTTTTCCTGCTTGACCCGTAACCATTCTGTGTTGTCTAACTTGGCCTCTTGAATGACCCTTAAAGATGGTATCTCGATCTCTGTGGGTATCACAACTTCAGAGTCATATACTAACATGTATGGCGTTTCCCTAGTGGATATCTTCAAGGTGGTATGATAAACTAGTAAGGCGAAGGATAATTTCTCATGCCATTGCCTATGATTCTCCCTCTGCTCTTTTTGATTTTACCTCCTTTGCTATCATCATTCATCTTCTGTCATCCTCCTCTACAACAGTTTGAATATGTGAACCCTAAGGCCCAATGTTTACTATAAATAGTGGTCTTAAATGCTCTCACTAAGAATACACACATAAAAATACACCAACTACACCTAACATTTCTGAAGAATTTAAGATACAATAGAGTATCTACTTAAGCCTTTTCGTTTGAAGTTTCGAGTTTGCTCTCAACCTATGCTTCTCTCTTTTTTTTGGCTCTGAGTTTGTCACTGGTTAAAATCTGAGCTTTTGATTTCCTAAACGGCTAACTTGAACACTCGTTTGGTTTGTTGCACCATAGGAGGTCAGTAAAACCTTGACCTTATTCTTCTTCTACTAGTCTAAATTCCTTAATTTGAACTGCTTTACTCTTTTTGCTAAATGATGTTATTAACTGTGTATTTATGTTTCTTTAACTGTTTCAAGTGTGTATTAATGACTGTTAAATAGTTTCCTGCGATCATGAACTTTTCTTAATTTATTGAAATCAGAATTACATATTAATATTGATATGCATATGATGACTCATGTTTTATATTCACTTTGAAAGTGACTAAGCACTTCTTAACATTCCTAATACCTAGTTTCTGACCTCTTTAATGATTCTATTAGCACTACTCTGACTGTTATGTTAACTTGTTGTGAATGTTACTTTTGTTTTTCCCTTAATAGTCCATATTTAAGCAAAGTATGAATCACTTAGTGTTGAAAATCAACTTGCTACCTTAGTTCAGAAATACTAACTCATGATCTTCTAGCTTGTTTTATCTCCATAATATGCTTCTGTAATTGGTTGATTAAACTCATGACTGTCTATGTAAACCTGCCCTAAGTTATGTGGATCGTGGTATCACTTTTGTGTATGTTTTGAGATTACTTTACACCTAGTTTAAGCCATTAAGTAAGAACAAAATGTATTAAAGTTATGATGACATATTGGTTTAGGTAAAATACTGCTGTTGAGTTCCATTCTACCTGAAACCCTATCCCAGACATGTTTAACATTGTTTTCAAATGTAATGATACTCTCATATTTTTTCTGAAGCTCATATAGTGATATTGTCAGTAAAATTTGCATAATATGATCTCTGCTAGTTGTCCTTTGTGTATGTCCTTTTGATTCTGCACTCATTTTTGTTCTTCAGTATCTCTGTCTATCCTTCATGATCCCACACATGCCCACACTGTTTTGATACTTTACTAAGATCTCTTAAATGGATTAAACTTAGTTTGGAGCTCTAAATAGAGTCTCTTGTTACTACTGCTTGAACATAACAACATGCTTTATTCTCAATGAGATTATTGTGAAGTTAATACTATCAGAAAGTCTTAAATTAAGTTGTGAATCTGTGACTTTGCTAATATATTTTGGAGGTCCTAAATGCAACCTTTGACCCTGTTAGTATCATTTTAGAGGTTTAGACTATAGTTTTGGTGCCTCTGACAGTACCAGTGCAAGCTCTAATCATGGATACTACTTTGAACCCCTGTTAATACTCTCTTAATGTCCTAATTAAAGTCTTCAACATGTGCCTCTTTTTTTGCTATGGAGAATCATTAAGAGGAAATTACCTCTAAATGAAGTTGTACAAAGATTTGGACAGAATGTGGTGTCCAGATATCATTGTTGTGCCCAACCAAAAGATGAATCCATAGAACATGTTTTCATCAGTGGAGAAATTGCAACTCAAGTATGGAAATTTTTTGCTATTCCTTTTGGTATTAACACTTCTGTTTTTTCTATCAGATTAATGCTTAACAACTGGTGGAGCTATAAAGGAAAAGAGAGATTACAAAGAAGAATCACTATTATCCTTCCTAACCTTATTTGTTGGGAGCTCTGGAAAGCTAGATGCAGCTACGTATATGGTAATAGAAGAACCAATAGAAGCAGAATATGTCAACAAGTTTTGTACCTATTAAAGAATGATCTTAAAAGATTGGATGAGAGGGTGGATATTAGTTGGACTTGGGAAAACCTCTGGAAGTAAATGGAGACCATTACGCCAGTTCTAAGTTGCGGGCCTGTCATTTGGGACAAACCCCCTGACAACTGGCTTAAAATTAACTCTGATGGAAATAGTAACATTCTCAAGAGAAGAGCTGGTGTTGGAGGTATTGTTAGAAATAGAAACAGACAACTTATTGTAGCCTATGCTCAAAATGTCCAATTGTGCACTAACAATAGTGCTGAGGTGCATGCCGCTTTGTGTGGAATAAAACACTGTAAAGATCTAAACTTTGGCAAAATTATCCTTGAAATGGACTCTTTGATTGTAGTCAATATGCTTAAAGGAAAGTACAAACTTATGGATAAGATGGAGACGTTGAAAGACATGTTACAACAACTTCAAGCACGTGTAGTTCATTGCTACAGAGAGGGAAATGCAGTCGTGGATGCATTATCTAAAATTTGAGCAGAATCTCAACATGAAAATGCTATGCTATACGGAACCGTGA